ACGGTGTTCACCAGGGCCTCCTTCTCCGAGCACAGCTGCAGCGCCGTCTTCCCGAAGACGCCCACCACGCACACCTCCTCATCGCCGCCGCTCCCTTCGGCGGCGGCCGTGGCGGTCAGCAGCAGGTCCCGCAGGCTCATGGGCCCCACCGCCGGTGCCGCCGCCATGGCTCCCGCCCCCCCGGGCAGCCCGCCCGCCAGCGGCATGGCCCCGCTCCCGCAGCACCCGTCCGGAAGCGGCGGCCCCCCCGCCCGCGCATGCGCGACCCGCCCCGGGGGTGGGACTCAGCCGGTGCCGCGGGTCTGGCGCGGTCCTTAGTGGAGCTCGGTGCGCGGCAGCGGGGCCTGGGGCAGAGCCGGGCAAGGCCCGTCCGGCAGCGCAGCTCCTGGTGAGCCCGGCGATAGCGGAGCCAACAGCAGAGCGCGGAGCTGCCGCTCTCCTTTGAACCCTTTAACCTGCAGTTACCATCGGGATCGGGTCTGTAAAACAACAGAGTGAAAACTACGCAGTTTCAGCACAGGCACGTGGGCCAAGGGGACAATGCGCGGCCAAGGCGAACGGGCAGTAACAATGTTCATACGGGTAGCAGGAAGTAGCAGCGAAAACAATGTTTATGCTTAAAGCAAGCACTTGCCTAATATGGAATAGTTGCTTAAGCAATAGCGTGTGAACAGTAATATGATTGGCTGAAAGGCGTGTGATCGGTAAGGCCATTGGCCGGAGAAGTGTGTGCACACTGTGTCGTGATGGAAAACACAGCTGGCGCCAGCCTCTGGGCAGACTGCTGTAACAGCCGGTATGCTCGCTCAGTAAAGGTCTCTGATTGCGCCATGGCTGGAGTCTGTGCCTTAATACGCTACAAATGGTGCCCGAACAGGGACTTGAATAGGAGACTCACAGAGTCCGGACTGGTGGGATAGCCCGACTGAACCAAGGACTACAGAGGGATTGCGCACACATCACCTACTGGATAGGTGAGCAGCTGGGAGCCATGGGAGGGAAGCTATTCCAGGCACAGAAGTGCAGTATAGAGACTTTGTGTAAATGGTTAGATGCTCAAGAAAGGGCTGTGATGGGGCCTCAATTACTGACTTTGCTAGAATGGATTCAAAAGAATGTGCCAGATTTTCTGTCAGAAGGTGCTCTTCAAATAGCATGCTGGCAAGCGGTAGGGACACAGTTACGAGCCGCTGTTGCTGCAGATGTGTGTACAGGACCGCACCTTGGGACTTGGTAGCAGATTCTAGCCACACTAAAGACTAATCAACAGCAGTCCTCCTCCCCTGTCGCACCATTGGTACCTCTAGAGTCAGCAGGTCACCCTCCAGCGAACCCTAAACCATTCCCATTGACCAACATGTTTTTGTTGCAAAATGAAGAGGGTCCTGAGCCAAACTCTGAGGAAGGCAGTGATCCTTTTGATCCAGGACCAATAGACTGTGAAAAGGAGCCTGATTTATTCCCTCTGTCTCCTGATGTGAATGCTCCAGCAACAGTAGAAACCACAGCATGTAACTGGTAAGTCTGTAGAAAGGAGGCAATAAAGCAGGGTGACTGGCAAGTTGCTTTGGCATGCCATGTGATTTATCAACCCAATAGGCCACCTGAATGGCAAGAGCTTCCTTATGAAGCAGTTAAAGACATTTGTAAGGCAATTAAGCAGAGAGGTATCCATTCACCTTTTGCCGTGTCTCTGCTAGAAGCAACTGCAGAATCATATATCCTAACTCTGTATGACTGGAAAGCTTTATTGCATATGGTGTTAACCCCTAAGCAATTTATGATGTGGCAGAATGATTTTGTGTGATCACCTCAATGGAAAATATAAATCAAGGTCATGGAGCTGACTATGATCAGTTGGCAGGGGAAAATGCACTTGTCCTCCTCCTGCACAAGTGAATTATCCCCAGGAGGTGTATGTCCAAATTCAGGCTGCTGCCCTCTGGGCTGTTCAGAAAATTCCTGAGTCTGGACAGGGTGCAGCTGAGTCATTTGCTAAAATATTGCAAGGCCTGACAGAATCGTATCCTCTTTTTATAGACTGGTTACAGGCCACCCTAGAGCAGCAGATTGAACATGATGAAGCTAGGGAGTTGCTCCTTAGACAATTAGCTTATGAAAACACAAATGAACACTGCAAGCCTGCCTTGCAACCAACCCGTAATCGCAACCCAATCTTAGCAGATATGGTGCAGGGTTGTCAAAATATTGGACCTACCAGTAATCACACAGCAGCTTTAGTGAGTGCCCCAATGGCTCAGCTCAAAATGAGGGAAACAGGAAAAGGGGGTATAAGTTGCTATCAGTGCAGTGCCCCTGAGCATTTAAAGCCAGAGTGTCCAAAAACGGGCAGCAAAAAGGCTATAGCCCCTCACAATTGCCCTCGATGTGGAAAAGGAAAACACTGGGCCAATGAGTGTCACTCAAAATACCATGCTAATGGTTATGTGGTTCCTTCCATTTCAGGAAACAGGAGCTGGGGGGCGAGACCGCACATCCTGAACAACCAAAGAAATCCGCATCCTGGCATTCGGCCGGCGAGCTGCGGCCAGGAACCTCGGGAAGTGCTGGCTTGGACCTGGCTGTCCGATGCCCGGTCACCCTGAATGACACGCAAGTATCCCTGCTGCTGATGGGAGCCTATGGGCCGATCAGCAATGGCATGCATGCTTTATTCATCGGGTGTTCTTCTACTACTAAATTAGGCCTCTTTGTATTACCGGGTGTTACAGATGCTGACTATACTGAGAAATATTGATTATGGCTTGGACCCCTGTGCCCCCTTGTTATATCCCAGAGGGGCAGTGTATTGCTCAGCTTGTTCTGTTTGTTGGAGGGGTGACAGGGGGTCAAGTGGCCAGAGGTGGTTCTGGATTCAGTAGCACAGGAACCCCCCAAATATCTTGGGCCAAGGCTCTAAAGGACTTGCAACCCTTGATGACATGCTATATACAAGGTTTCAGATTAGTGGACACTGGAGCGGATGTTTTAATCATATAAAGTTCTGAGTAGCCCCCTAATTGGCTCACAAGAGAGCCTGCTTCCTGACATAATCTATGTCCCAGCCACAAAGGAAAACCTTGACTGGTTATTAGCAGAAGGCAGCATTGTGCAAATGGCCTTAGCAGACTATCAGGGACGACTCTCAATTCGTTATCCAAAACACAACCTTTGGACTGATATTTGCCATCTGCCTTTATATGTGAAACAGTGGTGCCACTCAGCGCCTGTAGTTGGTCTTACCATCTTCACCGATGGTTCTGGGAAAAGTAAAGAAGCAGGTATGGCGTGGAGGGACCCTGTAGCAGGCACCTGGAACACTGACACATCAGTTGCGACCCAGGGCTCCATGCAGGAAATCAGTTATAATGGGTGCCAGCATGATGTGTGCAGCCCTTGTCATCCTCAGTAGACTCTCAAGGATTGTGAGCTGCGCATGGATCTCAAAACCAAAACCTAATGTTTGGCTTACTCTAGCCAATGCCACTAATCAGTCCACCCTTTGTGTTGCCATGACCAGCCCCAGTGATCCATTCTGAACCTGTCTGGTTGGCATTCCTCTGACAGAACATGAATGGGACCAGCTATATAACCAAACGATTACACGCAACTGTACAGATCCAGGTAGGTGTGAGGCATTATGGTGGTGCCTAGGAACACGGTGATCCAATGCTAGTCAGCCTGCAGGATAGTATCAGAGCAATGACTCAGGAAATGGCATGAACAAAGTAGGTGACTTTCCTGCTCTCCCACTACATCCTCAGGAACTTGAAATACTGGGCTCCATACAAGCTACTGTATGTTTTTCTCTTAATACAGTAGTGGCCTGAACATAAACAAGACAGGAATTGATGTAAGTGGTGCTGGCATTTATCTCAGTAATTCTGCCTGGTGTAATTTCACTACTCCCTTATCAGTTACACCAGGGGCCAATGCAGGAGGTCTTCCGGATAATATTTTTCCAATCTGTGGTGATAGAGCATGGAAAGGAATTCCAGGTAAACCCCTGCACCTTTAGTCGTTTAACCATGTTTCATCCCAGTAATCAAGCCTGTGTTAATTGGACCCTACAGCACCAAAGAAGCAGATGCACCGCCGAACAATTCAGCTTAGCCTGTAACTCCCACATTGACTTTTGGAATTGCGAGCAAAGGTTTTTTGGTTCTTTAATTCCTTCTATTGCTACTGCCCATGCTTTAACCATACTCAATAAATTGGGCTGTTGGCTAGTGACAGAGTAATGCCACTAGCAATGCCCTGACAGGGTTGTTAACAGATGCTGATTCTGTGTGTCATGCAACACTGCAGAATTGGGCAGCGATAGACTTTTTGTTATTAGCCCAGGGGCATGGCTGTGAAGATTTCAACAGAATGTGCTGCATGAATCTGAGTGATCACTCAATTCACAAAAGCATTCAGGACTTGAAGGAATTATCTGGAGAGTTGCAACAAAACCAAGGGGGGGACCCGTTTGGACTGTTCTCTTAGCTGGGAAATTTTGGTCCTTGGCTTAGACATATAGCTGGCTTTGTTGTGATAGGGCTTATAGCGTTATTGATGATTATAATATGTCTGCCATGTTTTTCTTGTATCCAATGACTTATAAATCAAAGCATAAATCAAGTAATGCTTTCAAAACACATACTGTGCTCACTCTGCAAAGCTTAACAAAGAAGGGGGAAATGCAACAGCATATGATCAGTAAGGCCATTGGCTGGAGAAGTGCATGGTGAAGCACGTGGAGAAGGAGCATTGTTTTGTGATGGAAAATACAGATGGAACCAGCCTCTAGACAGCCTGCTATAAAAGCTTGTATGGTCACTCAATAAAGGTCTCTGGCTGCACCACAGCTGCAGTCCCTGCCTTAATACGCTACACAGGCACATATTTATATCACAAGCAGCACTGGTGCTGAGCACACCAACAGTCCCTGCCTCAGGTATCAAGAGGCTCAGGAAGTTTCTTAATTTTTTCACCATTAAGATGCAACCAAACCGAAACATGTTAGAAAGACATTGCCTTTAAAAAGCAGAAATCTGCCAAAGGGAGTTTATAAAGTCCTGTTCTTGTGCACGCAAGATTTACTTGCAAATATATAAGTCTGAGCAAGAGAAAAACAGCATTCGAGGGCCTTCCTAACCAGAGGTGACAAACGCAGTGTTCCATAAACTACTTCTATTCGTCAAAGCTGTTTGCAGCACTCAGCCGGGCAGGTGAGGGGCTCTGTGGATGTGCCATCTGTCAAAATAAGGACACGGTCAGCCTTGGAACATCCGAACTCAGTTCTAATTATGACTGAGATAAACTACTGCACAATTCTTAAATGATACCATAAAAGGAACCAGACATGGCAAATCCTTAAAATAAAGGACATTATTAACCTTCCGACTTTGTTCTCTTGTAAACTGGAACTATAGAGATGGTGTTGAGGAGCTGGAATGGCCATCAAGAAAACCTCTCAATTTTTCCTCATGGTATTGCCAAATAACCTGCTGGAACAGGCAACAGCATTCCCGTTCTGTTGTTTCTTTACTGTTAAAATGAGCACCCTTGGTTGTGTTAAGGAGCACTTTTGGATGGGAATTATGGAGACACTGCAGTGTGTGTAATACACACCAGTGGTGCTGGGCTGCAGGGTAAATCTGCATGGAATTCTGTGGATTTTAAAGTCAGTTTACCATTCCCAAAAGAGAGACTCCGCGACTTGCCTGAAATTTGCGTCGTAGTGCCTGTGTCATTAGTGGCGTCAACCCAGACCCACATTCTGTGTTTTCTTTGCCATTTAGTGGAGTGCCTCCAGGACTCCTGAACAGATCAGAAACAGGAGGAACTCTGATTAGTTCTCTGTTGTTTTTTTCTCTTCAGAGAAACAAAACAAGAGAATAGGAAGGAACTTACCTCTGGATATTGACTTTCTTCAGATGTTTTCGAAGATCTAAGTGATTTTTAGGAGGGGTACTAGAAGAACAAAACAAATTGTTAAAATGTTTTCCATTCTCTGAACAGTGTTAATCAGTGTTTAGAACAGAAAAAAAATCTAAAGAAAAGAAGAAAGTATCTTACATTAAGGAGTTTGTAACGTGAGCAGATGGCTTGGTTTTAGGTCTTAAACTAACACTCTGTAAATCTGAAACTGTAATTAAGGCCCTGCGTGTCTTCATTGGCGAGTCTGCCTGAAGGGATAAAAGACATAGCAAAATGAAACTTCCAAGTGTTTCACTGACCTTAAATCTATTTAATATTTATACTCTGAAATATTTCACAGAATCATAAAATGGTTAGTTGGAAAGGACCTTCTTTTCACTTAGTTCCATCTCCCCTGCCATAGGCAGGGATGCCTCAGGGATGGGTGACCATATCACCCAAGGCTCTGTCCAACCTGGGGTTTATGGCTGTTACACTTCTTTCGGTCATCAAAATTTGAGCGTGTCTTAGCTAAAAATATTTATTTTAAGACCCCCAAACTGTTGCAAACAAGATTTCAGCTGGGCAAACAAAACCTCCAAATCTGTTAATAACATACAGACATGATGCTACATGCTCTTAAGATAAAACCAGAACTGTCCTGCATGCCAGGCGAGTTTGGGTCACTTACTTTCTTCACTTCAAGTGCTGGGTGTAAGATCAGAATCATCACTTAAAGCTGATCACTGGGGTTTTGAAGAGAAGAATTAATTACCTGAGAAAGTTCTATGAGGGACTGACAGGCAGGAAATACTCTGGTTCAAGGTGGAGTTTGCCTTGATACACCATTGTCTGTTTAACCATATGTCTCCTGGTTTACCTTGTCCATCCTGCTTCTGCCATCTGCCTTCCTCAGTTTAACATTCAGGAGGTCTCTGAGGGTGATCTGCATTGGCCCATCTTTTTTCACTGGTGGAATCTGAGTACAAAGGCAGTTGGAAGGGAAATTAGAATTGGCAAGTGACTGAAGGTTCACAAAGATGCACATTCCTGATGGAACCAGGTCCAAGGAACCCGGCCCCGAGAAAAAAAAAAATTAAATAAACAGAGGAACCTTCTCACCCCCTACCAGAACTGCTTTGGAGCCATTGCCCCTTTTGAGGAGGAGTGGTGCTGGAGGCAGTTTTGGTGGGGGCAGTGGAGGTGGTGGTGGTGGTGGTGGTGGTGGAGGAGGAGGAAGAGGTGGAGGGGGTGCAAATGCAGGCTGCAGCTGTATTGCAGAAGGCCTGGATACTGGTGATGGCAGACCCATCTGCATTGGTACAGGAGCACCCACAAGTGGTTTATTACACCTTTGACAAAGAGAATTTTCTGAAGATGAGGCTGTGGTTCCATTCATCTGAAAACAAATAAATAAGAGAATATTAAATCCATTGGCAGAAGTAGATGGAATTTTAGACAGCAAAATTTCTAAGAAAGACATAGAAAGCCTCTTGCAAGGCTCACCAGCAAACCACTTCCCTCTAGCTATGAGGTAATGCTGAATGCAGAGAATGACCAAAGAGAAGCTCTTCAGATCCAGGTTTATTGGCACTGACCACAGCGCCTTACGTGTTATGCAAATGTTACCCTGCCCCACCACGAGTGAGACTGACCTGGAGTGCTCCTTGTAGTCTGGAAAATTCAGTTTCCAACTTTTTCAGCTGCTCTCTGAATGTATTTAGCTCCCTTAAGTAGATTTGTGACGGAAATATGGTGTCTTTAACCACTTTAAAACTCTAAGCACAAAGAGAAACCAGATTAGCATTTTCACTATCAAGTTATGTTTCCAGATACAGGGCTATGATTATTACTGGAAGTTCCATCACAAATGTTACTGTAGTCAACAGAAAGGCACAACACAAAGATACAAAATTTCACCAAATAGTTCCTTGGCAGGGGCACAGGGAATAACTTTCTCTCAAAAAAAAAATGAATTTCATCTAGAAATTCTGAACTGTAATTCACACGACTGAAAAGCTCATACAATCATTTCTGCTATGAAGACTGCACCCTGTCACTGCAAATTCTCCTAATATTCCAATAAAAAACCACAATTGCACGTATGCATTTAATGTCCACAGCTGCCTTGACACTCTTCTCATATTTATTTCTTCAACACTAGTTAGTAAGCACTAACTATGTTTTAGATGCTTCAATACACATAAGTAAATTTACAAGTTAGTTCTCAAATCTGACTGTATATCCTGTACCTGAGCGCTAAGAACAACCTCACACGCTGTCAAAAGTAGAGAAGTAGAAAACATACCTGTGCAACCGTGTTCTGGCACCAACAGTACAAAAATGACACTGTTGTTGTGAAGGGTTTTACCATGTTTTTCACACTGGGCAAGGCTACTGACCAGAGTGAGGACAGATGGCTTGGGACAGATGATGTGTTCAGAGGAAGATTACCTGCTGACCTGGAACAGAATGTTTCAGAATGAGGCCATAACTGTATTTCTCATTTCAGCCTTTTAAAAGAAGCTAAATGTGACCAATCATCTGGAAATGACAAGTACCAGCAACAGCAGGTGTCAACAGAGCAAACATGACCACAGAAACCAGGAAAGATCAAAATGCATTTTGATAAAGCGGAGTGTCATATTTACAATATATTTTTATCCAAATTGCTTTTCCTGCTTATAAAGTTTATGATAGAGTACCAGAAAATATACAAAAGATATCTGCCTTCCAATACTTTAATGGCGCCTTCAAGAAAACTGGAGAGGGCTTTGGACAAGGGCCTGTAGGGGCAGGCCAAGGGGAATGGCTTTAACCTGCCAGAAGGGAGACTGAGATGAGCTCTTAGGCAGAAGCTCTTCCCAGTGAGGGTGCTGAGGCGCTGGCACAGGGTGCCCAGAGAAACTGTGGCTGCCCCATCCCTGGCAGTGTTCAAGGCCAGGTTGGACACAGGGGCTTGGAGCAAGTTGCTCTAGTGGAAGGTGTCCCTGCCCGTGGCAGGGGTTGGAACTGGATGAGCTTTAAGGTCCCTTCCAACACAAACCAGTCTGTGAAACAATTCCACAGCATCCATGCCAGGACATAGACAAGCTTCAGGTACAATTTATGATGTCAGTTCCACACGGGGACCAAACAGTGGACCCAAAATTGAGTTAAAAAGCTCAAGCTGGGCCTCCTACCGTGGAGAACAACCTGAGCCCTGGGAGTTTGCAGCATCTCTTTCTTTTTCCTGTAGAAATTCTGCTCGAGCTCTGTGTTTTCGTCTGCGTTTCTTATACTTGGCCATTACTGTTTAAAAAGACACATTTACAATGAATGTACTGAAGCTGTCACACGGGCACAGAGCTACACCAAAGAGGCAAGAACATGAGCCACATTTCAGAAAATCCACCCAGAATTTAATCACTGTTGTCTTCCTAGAAGCATCATACACAGCTGAGGGAAAATACATCCTTAAGTTCCTATGATCCACAAGGATATATTTGTACACGGCGCTAACTATGTAAAGTCCCATTTTCTATGGCTTTTTGTTGGCAGTTGTGCTTTAACCCGAGGTGACAAACACTGCCCTTTGCGGAAATGGCGCTTGCGGAGAACGCTGGCAAAAGACGCGAAGGATCCGCACACGGGGTCCGGGCGGTGCCTGACCCGGTGCCTGACCCGGTGCCTGACCCGGCGCCTGACCCGGCGCCTGACCCGCTGCCTGACCGGCAGGCCCTGCTCCTGTCCGCGGCCTGCGCCAAGGAGCGGCCAGTTGCTCACACACCGAGCCCCGGTTGTATGACGGGTGCCCGGGGACATGAGGCCGCCATATCGCTCCCCACCGCGGGCGCCCCCTCTGACCCACCACCGCTCACCTACCGCTCGGCGCCGCCGATTCAAACTGCAACCCGCGCAGAGCCCAGCCAATGGGAGCGCCCCTCTCTGCCGTCCCGGCCCCCGCGGCCCGAGCTAGCAGCTCGCTGATTGGCAGCCGGACTGATGCGAGCCCGGGCTCCACGGGAGCGACGAATGGCCAATCGCGGGGAGACCCGACCCATCATTGGGTAAAGGCTTGGAGTTCCGCCAATCAGCTGCGGGACACCGCTCATCTGGGAAAGGCCAATGGGGCTGCAAGGCGGGGAAACTCCGGTTCCCTCCTCCGGTTCCCTCGGCGGCCCCGTGCTGCCCCGCCTCGCCAGACACGCTCCGCGGCTAATCGACCGCTCTCCTCGCCAGTTGCGGAGCTGCACCCCTACTCCAGCCATCCGCTGCTAGATTTCATTCTGGACCAATAACGGCTCGCGGTGCTCCCCCACCTAGCCAATCAGTAGCTGAAGTTTTTCTACCAACCAATGAGCTCCCCCGTACCTCGGAGAGGGTTTACATTCCTCCCGACCCAATGGCGAGAGCGTTCTGTCAGCGGCTAGCCAATGACAGACGAGCGGCGAGTGACAGCTGCCCAATGGGGGCCGCCGGCTCTCCCACCCTGAGGAGCGGGGGGTGGGGATCTCCCCGCCGCCGCCTGAGGAATGTCAACTATTCAACATGGAGACGGCGGTTACCAGGCTCGAGACCATGGTGAGTGCGGGCGGCGGCCGGGATGAGGGGCGGCCGGGCCGGGGGCCGGCGGGGCAGCGGCGGGAGCGCCTCGGAAGGCACCGGGTTGCCGCCTGATGGAGGTGGGAAAGCGGAGCGCGGGCGCGGCCGGAGGCACGAGGGCAGTGCGGCCGCCCTCCGCTCTGCCCCCAGCCGCGCCCGCGCCCCATCCGGGCCTGAGCGGAGCCCGCGCCGCCCTCGACGGGGCGCCCGCCGCTCGCAGCTCGGGTCGGGCAAGTTCGGCCGGGCCGGTCCATTCTGCTCACCACCGCCACCCCCACCCCCACCCCGGCCCTCCCCGAGCGGGGCGGGGCTTGATTGTGCCGCTCCATTCACCCCCTCGGCGCGGGGGCAGGGCCTGGCCATTTCCCGCTCACCTGGAGCTGGGCGGGTTCCGCGCAGTCCCGGGCGCGTTTACCGCCGGCCGGTCCGGTCCGGTCCCGTCCCGTTTGCTTCATTTCCCCGTCGCGGCGGGGTGGGGGGGGCGGTGTGGAGCTGAGCGCTGCCGGACGAATCCATTTTGTCTCAGCGGGGGGTGAGGGTGGAGCTCTCACCTGGGCTGGACCATTTTCCCCGCGGGGGTGTCGGGGGAGGAGAGGCTTCTGGGCTGTTTCATTCGTACCCGGTTGGGAGGGGGGGAAGCGGGGCGGTGGGATGGCTTACCGCCGGGATAGCTGCCCGCCGGGGGCGGCGGTGCCTGGGGCTCCGCTTCTACCTCCGTCCTGGAGGACGGGGCAGGTAGAGCGGGGCAGGTAGAGCAGGGCAGGTCCGCGGGGCCGGCGGCAGGAGCGAAGCCGGGGAGCCTCCCCCATGGCCGCGCTGCGGCACCTTGAGGAGAGGGGCGTGTGAGGAGTGGGCCGCGGACGGTCCCGGGGAGAGGGCGGCTCCAGCGCTCAGCTTCCTCGGAGCCAGCCCCTGGGGGCAAGACTGAGCTGCGTGGTGTAATAACCGCCTTTCTGCCTGTGCCGCTCATGGACAAGCGAAATAATAATAGTAAAAAAGCCCCACAAACTCTGCTGTGCTTTCGCATGTTGGGAGGCACTGGAAAGCCGTCCCTTCAAACAGCTAAGTTCCTTGTGGCCTCCTCCAAATCTTGATCTTCGTTTTTCCTTCCGTGTAATGTAATTAGTTTACACTCTTGTTTTAGTTAAAAAGCTTCAGGGATGTTTTATGCATCCAGTCCTTAACTGATAAGGTATTTTCTGTTCCTAAACCCTATATAAATTAAAATGCTGGTACTGCCATAGTTCTCCAAACTATGGTGCTCCTTTTGTTTTTGCTTGAAAACTTAACAAAAGTTTTGTCATTTGTAGTAGCAGCAGTGTTAGGTAGTTGATAAGTTTAATTAATTGATAGACTTAATTGATAAACTACAAGTGTCCTCATGGAGAAAAAGGTGCGTTATTAAATACAAACACAAACAGCACAATAGAGATTTTTGTGTTGTTTTTTTCTTTTATCCTCTGGCAATCTTGGTTTCACATTCTCATTAAGAAGTAAGTCAAAATGAGGTTAATAGATTCCTAATTGTTACCTGTACACAGTAACGTAACCAAAGCAGACTATTCAAGAGAAAATAATAGGAGGAATGCTGGGAAAACACGGCGGGGAATATCTTATATCCACATTATCCCTTAACCTAATGGGCACTAGACCTTAATACACAAAACTGCTGTGCAGCTCAGTGCTCCTGTGTTTAAACATACTTAGTTTAGTGTCACTTCTCCAGCACAGTGTGAGTATTAAAGCTCAGTTGGGAGCCAGGGAAGTGTTTGTTGCCTGCAAAGAAGCAATTGGCTGAAAGTTGTCTAAACATGAGCTAGTTCTGCCTTTGTCACTCACAGGGTGACCTGCACATCTCTGCAACATAAGACACAATGATCTTAAAGGTCTTTTCCAACCTAAATTATTCTGTGATTCTATTTCTGTTAAGAAATAAAAAGTAACAATTGAATAAACACCAGAATACCTGCATTATTTGAAAGAGCAGAGATTTCAAACTGTCCTGCCTAATTCTCAGTTTTACCGCACCTTAAAAACAAGGTGGTGTGTCTTGTCTTGCTTTTGCTTTAAGAAGCCATGCTTTTGAGGAGGTGGGGGTTATTTTTCTTCCTCTTTGGCTACTCAGCTGCAGTCATCACACTGAGTATGTAGAGTGGTAATAGTAGACAGTATTTTAATTCAGGGACATACTGTATTCCTGTCAGAGCTCTGAAGTTATTCTAATTTCAAATTCAAAACCTCAGCCTTGCCCATAGTGTAAACTCGATCTCCCCATATCTTTTATTAGTATTATTTATTTAAAAGCCTAGTTTAGCAAGAATAATTTAGAAATCTACTTAGAGATACCTAGGTAGATGTTGGTATTTATTTATTTAACATTATAGTTTATTTATGTGTGTTATTGAAAGTCTTACTTTCAAGCAATTCTCATTTTAGGTCATGTAAATAGTCAGGGAGGTATTTGTGCTCACATAAAGTTAGCAGGGTTTTTTTATATATAATAGTGGAAGAAGACTGTAGTGGGACATTGTCTTAATGATCTACTTTATGAGTAGACCAATATGATTATTGCACAGATTACTTCAAGGTGGAGAGCTTGTTTGGGTCTATTATCCACACAGATGGCACACAGCGATTTCCAAAAGCGTGGAGACTACAGCTTGGTCTTTCACCCTCTTCTGACTACCCCAGATCTTTGGGTAATCCATTTGAAAAAGAAATTGATTTTGATTTCACTCCGTTAGTCTGATATTTTTCTGTTTGATTCTTGTGTTAATTCTTCATTCAGATGGTGGAAGATGGTATCCCTGGCTGCCTTCTTCCACTGAAACTGCGGGTGGCACAAGGCAGTTGTGTCTGCATCTGGTTTAGTTTGGTTTGTTTTCAAAAAAAGTGTGTTTCCTTAAATACATCTCAAACAGTTTCACTTACTAATTTCCTATATACAAACCTCATCCCAAAGTGTAATATTCCCCTTCATCATTGTTTAACTTAATCAGAATATGTACATTGGCAGCTATGTCTCACATCACAGCTTTGTGTCGCTTGCTTTTCCTTCTGCTTATTGTTTCCTCTTCCTGGATTTCCTGTGAAAGTCAGCTATCTCCACAGAAGTGTGATAAAATAGCACTTCTTATTTCCCTGGAGGTTTTGACATGCATGTCATGGGAAGCTTTCTTTTAGTCTTTGGTTTAGTCTTTTTGTTCAGTTTAGGGATAAAATAATGTGTAGGAGCTTATAAAGGACAATGTATATGAAAACACTAGGTAATCAATGGTTATTTGAGACTGTTCCTCAAAGTACAATAACCAGAGTGGAATGAACCATGACGTCTACAGAGTTTCATTATGCAAAATATTGTAAAGCTGACTTATTAACACTTTAACTAAGAATACTGGGACTTAGGCACCGGAGACTGTGCTGCACAAGTGTTCCTTGAAGGCAGCTGAGATTGGAGACCTTTCCAACAGCTTCAACAGACACAGTCAGGCCTCCCCTGAAAATACAGTAGATGGTAGTTACTGCTGACAAATGTATCCTTGTGTACAAGCATTCCATTAACCTTTAATGCTCAGGACTTCATACCCTGAGCTGGTGACTTCCAGTATGCACTTTGGCAGTCTGCACTGAGAGAAATTTTGTGGACACCCATTTAGTAAAACGTGACAGCAAATGGATAAAGCGTCAGATGAGCTGGGAGTGCTTCATTCAGAGCAACTCAGTTACTTTCTGTCCCTGTGGTTTTGGTATAGTGGACCTACTTTTTTCTTCGAGTGGTGTCTGTCCAGTGCCCTTTTTATGTTGTACTACTAGTGATCATGCACAAAAAGCAGTGCAATGTTAAAAGGGCATTGGCCAGCAATGCTATCTACGTTACTCATTATTACTGTTATTATAGTTAGAAGTCAGAAGCCACTGTCTGAGTCCAGAAGGTGGTGCTCAAAACAACTGTAGAATGGGATTGCCAGGTTTTTGTTTTGTTTTCTTTTGTTTTGTTTTTGCACTCATTGTCTTCTAGTTATTTGCCAAGGGGAAGCATTAACTGGTCTTTTAATTACAAATACCATCATTCCTGTGTGTGTTTTTCCTTGGAAGTAAGTGCCCTACAAAGAGGAAAGAACACTGTGTAGCATTCTTATTTCCTGTGGTGGTTTCTGGAGAAATGTTGCAGGTGTGGAGTTGGCACAAGTTGTTGCTCTATGTGCATCAGCAACCATCCATCTCTCTCCGCTCCATCCCACTGCTTTTTTGCATTTTGTTGTTAACAGTCTTTGCACCTCGAAACCCTAAGAGTTCTCCAACTTTTTATGTAAAGTTACTGTTTGGTTAAAAAGAAACACCTTTATTGAGATTTATGAAACACACACACCCCCCTCCCCCCCCCCCCCCCCCCCCCCCGATGGTGCTCTGACATCCATCTGGTAGCCTCAGTGGTAAAGTACATCCACAGTGTTGGGAAATGAGTGTGTGTCTGTGCATTTTAAAGTGATTCAACACTTGCAAATGCAAAGAATAAACTCTGGTATCCAGAAAGTGTTCCCTCTAATGCAGTTTAATAACATCTGTCTGAGAGCAGTTTAGAATCTTTGTTTTCTGTGAGACAGATTTAATAAATAAACTCAGAATTGTAGTTTCCAGTTAAAAGAGCACCAGATGGTTTGAAATGGAGTTTTTGATAGATCTGTTGGGTAGTTTTCCCCTCCTGTTGGTCAGTGGCATGAGGGGGATTATGAATAATAATAATGCCCTGAAATATGTGAGTTTTTGTGTGTCTTAGTATTTGGTGAACATTAACCTTATCCAATTCTCCCTGATCCACAGAAACCACTATCTGACTCAACCTGTTTTTTCAGGTACATATTTTGAGTCTACTGATGACTCGTACAGAATTCTTGCTGCTAACGAATGCTCTGACTTTATTGCACTACTGTACTTCACAGCTAGCAGTGCAATAGTATTGTCAAAGCATCTGAAAGCAGAGTCTCACCTCACGGTTTCTGACACTTTTTTTCCTAAGCCTGTGAGTAAATTACAAATTTACATTTCAAAACCTGCTTTTTCTGTGTGATTGCTGTACAGTACTCATCATAGGAATGGTCCTACCCTACAACATTAAGGTGATGTTTTTGCAGGGGTATGTTCCCTAAAACTGCATGTGGTAGTCCTTTTAAGCATGTTTTGAAATTGCTGTTAATAAATATTGTTTCTTTTAGAATATACTTTTGGGAGAAAGCAGTGATACTGAACTGTGTTAGTGTTTCCATTAAGCACAAATGTTAAAATTACAGCCATGTGGTGGATAAGCATTCAGCTTCACATTCCATTTTCAGTGCCTTGAATTGTAGTAGCAGGATATTAGTGCCTTACTGTCTTTCTGTAAATCTCAAATTACCAACACTGAGCATTTCAGGAATAGAATCTTATGGATAAATTTGAAAGGCGCCCATCTTCATTGTCTGCTTTCGCCTAAAATAATTAACTGCTTTTCCAAAGAGTAATCAAATGGAGAAGTTGGAGAAAAGCAAAATATCTTTTGGGGGTACCTGCCTCTAGAAATGAAAACCTAAAAATGTTTGCTAGTGGAGGAGAACATAAATGATTGAGCAGTTAGGAAAAAAATCCCTCATGACTCTTTAAAAATACATAGTGTAATAAAAAGTGTTTTATTCTTGCATTTTATCATAACTGGGTTTGGGGGCATAGATGGGAAGGAATTCTGTTAGGCAGATGGTAAGTTATGGGCATAGCAGGGACAGCTTTCCCTTTCAGTTAGAGGTACTCAGGGTCTTTACTAGATTTATTTGCCTTTTCTTAAACTATTATTTGACAATGTACTGAAGGTGCATATGTTTAGGGAAAATCATACATTTTTCACTACATCAGAAAGGGGGTTTTACTTGTACAGTACCTTGGATCGAGCACTATTCCTTCAGGCTATCTCAAGTTCCAGATTCTCAAAGGTATTAGTGGCAGTTCCTGAAGGTGGATCCAAAGGCTGATGTTTAAAACATAAACATCCTTTTGGTCTGACTAGAGGCTACATCCAAACACTACTGAAACTTGGCACTTTAGCTGCCTCTACAGCTCTGCCAGTCAGTACTTTGGGATACACTCAATAAATACAGCCCTACTGTGATCCTTAAGAGAGTTGTAATGATGACTTCAGGGTTAACCGCAAGATAACTAGTGAAAACTAAGTGAAGTAAATTACAACTGTTTTTAACTTGCTTTCATCAGTGTCTCTTCTGTGATTGTACAATCACTAAATTGTGATGCTAAAAAATTCATGAGTTGTTTGTGAACTGGGAAAACTGCCTTTCTTTAAAGCAGAAGTCCTTAATATTAAAACTGCAGACTAAAATTAATTAAGCAATAATGCTATCAGCAGACTGTTTTACAAGGCAACTAGATAATTCTCTGGTGGCTTGTTTATCCCATGGAAAGAAATGTGATGTTACCAATTTTATTATCTATTTGTCAATCTAATTTATTGGGGAATAATGAAATGTATTATAATCATCTGAGAGAATGCATTCCTGGTATAATTAATAATATCTCTGTTGATATGCTTGGATCCTGAACACATGCACATAATCTCTGCTAAGTAACTGAGTATTGAAGTTTTGCTAACAGGACTTTTAGGGTTTGGAAAGAAAAGCAACTAGCCAAGACAAAGCTCTAAAAAAGGATGGAAAATATGTTAATATCTCAGGAGGGAAAAAAAAAAATCAAACACCTCCTGCATTCAATGAAGATCAAATTCTTTCTATTGATAGAACTTGGCCCTTTGGTCTAGTACCTAAAAACTTCATCCTGAGACATTTGGCATTACAAAGGCATGTAAATTAGGAGGAGGTGGAAATGTTTTCATGTGTTTTGGGGAGCTGCAGAAAAAAGGTACTGATGCAAAGAGAACAATTGGGACATTTAGGTTAGAAAGAGGGTAAAATTCATAGAAGTGCGTGTGTGCACATGTAATTCTTACATGTGAGAGGTTTTGTCAAGCCTGAAAGTTTATTGCTTTCTATTTTTTAAGCTAGAAGTGTGTCAGTATAATTGGCAGACATTAGCTAATGGAATGGATTGGAGGAATAGAAACTTACTTGTATAGTGCACAAGCCTTTAAAACAGAGGCATCTGGCTTCTGCTTTCCTGAAATACTGGAAAGGCAAACATTTGGGGGTTGTCTGCAATTTTTGTTTTTTAACATACTGTGGCTGATCTGAAATATTTTAGTTCCAGAAGGCAGAATCTGACCTGGATTATATTCGACACAGACTGGAGTTTGAAATATTGAAAGGTCTTCCTGATGATCTGGCACCAGAGGTAGTATTTTCAGACTAAATTTATAGATTTTATTGCATTTTGTATGAAGTTGGTAATAAATGGGTAATTTTCTTTAATCCTAAAATATACATGGCTGTTCTTTTATCTAGTTGTTAGGCTCTTGTTATAAGATCTTTCCTGTTTTGTATATCAAGATAACTGACAATATGAATTCAGTGCAGAAACCAACAAAACCCCTTTGATTTCTTGGTATCATGAAATTCTCCCATGTTCTGCTTTGAGAAATGAGTAGCAGAGTTAACACCTAAATTTGAGAGACAGATTCCAGTCTGAGCTAAAACACACCCTTGCTTTGAGATCAAAGATAATCTTCCTTATGAGCAACGACTAAATTCAGATTTGAGGGAGAGATGATAGGAAGAAAATAAGTGGCATCCTATAAAGGATTTTATAAGTAAGTCCTTGTCTCAGTGTATATTGTTACATGTAGTGGAAAATAATCTTTTTAGTTAGAAGTCCCAGATTTATTCCAGACAAACCATTAAAATTCACCAACACAGTAAACTCATCCTCCTGTATTTGTTGTGGAACCACAGACTTATCCTGTTTTATTAACACTGTCATTTCTCCTTATGAAAGATTAAATGTATAGATGAAACATCCTCTCAGCTACACTTTTTATTGTAAAGGGTCATTTAATGTTATATTTTAGCGGCCTAATGCCTACATTTTTAATTTGTATGGGCCACCTTAATTTTCTCTTCTTACATAGTTTAAATATACTTTTAATTTCTACATAGGAAAATCCAGTTGCTCTCTTGGAAGAAATTGCCGTGGTGAAATCTCGTTACAAAACGTTGTCTATGCAGATGAAAAAAGTTTTCACAGAGCAGAGAGAATCCATCAGGAGCATCTGTGCTGCTCTAGTGAACACAATGAAGATAGTTCGGGTGTTAAAGCAACATGCTGGTCTTGAGGTAGTATTTTCATTTTAATCCCTTGTGTCTCACTCATGTAAATGAACATGTGTCTGTGTAACCCTTACATAGACCTAAGTAGTTGCATTGGAAACTGTTACATGTGAAGACTCTTAGAAGGCTTTTAGAAAGTAAGCTTACCAGAAGAAATGTTTGCAAGACTGGAGCTTTTTTTTGATAAAACACAAGCCTGATTCATCACTCGACAGTTAAGCTAGTGGTATGCAGTTTGGAGGTGAAGTAATACCATCATTCTTCAGACTTTTTGTTATAATACCTTTTGCAGTTAAGGCATTGGCTTATATTGTGGTGGATTTAGCAGTGCTGGGTTAACGCTGGGACTTGATGACCTTAACGGTCTTCTCCAACCAGAATGATTCCATGATAATGGTGTGACACACGTTTGAATTAGTTTCAAAGCAACTCATGCCTCTGTGCACATCTGCGTCCCCGTTCTATACTGACATAGTTTTAAGTAGCCACCTTAAAGAAATTGGACAGAGAAAACAATTTCAAAAGGCAAAGAAGCTTTTAAGTGGCAAATGCATTTGTGCTGTCTAAAGTAAGTTAAAGGCAACACACTGTAACATTTGCAGTGGAACTGCTTCTAGTACAAAGTAAGTTTTTCTCAGTATAATGCCTATTAAAAAAAAGGCAATAACAAACAGAACATTTGTGTAAGTGGTCTCCAGGCACTGGTTCATCACAGGTTCGAAGAGGTTGTGAAAGCATTAATTCCATCCCTTTACAAATATGGGGATTTAGATCAAAAAAGCTAATTGATAGTCTAGTGGCAAAGACAAAACTGGTGTGACTGAAATGTATTCCCAGATCTCAGCTCTCGCTAAAATGTTCTAATGACAGTACCTCAAGGTTGTGTTTAATCTGCCAAAAGCTCAAGAGGTTACTGGTAAGTTCTATAGATAAAATGTACTCTATAATGATTTAAAAGACAGTAGTTATGCCACAGAAAGGAAAGATATTTTCTCTGCCTGGGTTCCAAGGTTACGCTGCCAAGAATAATTTCATATTTGGACTTTGTTAAAGTGGAAGACTTTTTGTCTCTTGAGTTTTATTTAGACTTTTTAGATAAAGATTTTCGTGAACTTTGTATATATCCTAAACCAAAGATGGATTAAACTGTGATGGAGAAACTCAGGTCTTTAAGTGAAATACTAGTTCTTACTGAATAATTTTTCTTCTTTCTGTTGAATCATGTATAGTACTGATGTTAAAGGAATATTATGGTTGGATTTTTCAGAAATACTTTGCTTGTAGATTTTGTTTCATTTGAAGGCAAGTAGGAATCTACTGTTAGTTTCCTTAAGGAAAGGGCTACACAAACATTGAGTTCTTCTGTAAATATTATCACCCTAGGAACTGAAAGTTTCAGAGTTCTCTGTGTTTGTTTGTTTGTTTTTCCTAGTGCTTACCCCTGTCAGCAGAAGAACAGGCTGCAGCACTGCAGTTAACCTCCCAAACTGTTGAATTGCTAGTGGAAGAGGTAATGAGGCCAAGCATGTCTATATTCCAGAAACCATTAAACCTGAGTGTAGCCCATCTGAAGTTGGAAGGGTATTGTATTAATACCTCTCCAATGAATGGACTTTTTTTTTCTTTTCCAGAAATGGGACTAAAGTTTCTAACAAACCTTTTCATTTTTATTCGATGTTGATTAATTTTATTATTTGTTACAATTAAATTATCCACAAAGAAAAAATTGGCTTTGATGGAAGGCTTTGTTCCCCTTACCTTTTAACTGGGATACGTTTACATTTCTTTTCAGAGAGGTAGTTGATTGCTCTTCTTGATCCTATTGTTCTGTTAATGCGTTATATAAGAAGCCTTTGGGTGGGAGTAAAGAATTTAATTAATTCAAACCAACATATATCAAAATGTAGAGAAATCTAATTTCATGTAAAATACTAAATACATTTTGGAATATGAGGAACAATAAATATATTCTAACTGTAATGAAGCAGAACATAGAAAATAATGCTTGTTAAAATGTCAGATATTCTCCCAAAGCTACTCAAAGCACAAACTTCTGATATAATTATCTGCAAAGGTTTGGTCTGTGACTCCTATTAAAAGCAAAATTTTAAGAAGGTTAATAGAGTATAATTATCGACCTTAGCTTTTTCTACATGTCTTTTCACTGCCCACTACTCCTCTGTCACAGGATTCCTTGCTTTCTGTCTCTTTATTGCCACAGTTGGCTGACAGGAAAGCTGTCCAGCATCTCACAACTTCATTCACTATCTGTTTGTAAATATCTTCTCTTATGTTGATACAATCTCTCAATGTCTGTCTTTTACTTAATGCTCACGCACACATACAGATGTCTTAAACCAGTGCAAAATGTAGCTGTATTCTGCATCTATTGAGGCCTGTTTAATTGATGTCAGTCCCTATGTCATCATTATGTTTTGAAGATGCTCTCTGAAAGGCAGAAAGAATGGCAAAATGTCGCAAAGGGACTCTGGTATTTTTTCATCTGTGTTGTATTTCTGGCTATGGGGAGTTAGATACAGCTACCTTCAGCTCATCAGAGCTGTCAGCCTCTGAAGGCTGCTTGAGAATAGGAAAGCCATCTTTTTCCTTTGCTGCATGTGCCGGGCTTTCAGCTAGATCCATACTGGAATGCAAAGGAGAAAGCTGAAGAGGCTCATCTGACTTGCATATAAATCCTTCTGTATCCAGTTTAAGCTTACCTTTTATTTGAAGGCAGGGTTTCTTTAATGCCTGAGATTTTACTGCTGACTTCAGTGGCTGCAAGATCCTTGTTTATCCAGTGGTAAAATGTAATTACTTCTGCAGAAATGAACTTGTAAAAAATAATCTCTAAACAAAATTCCAACAATCATGATATTATCTTGTTTGGTTTTAGCCATCTTATTCAAGATCTACAAGCACTGCCTCAACTGAAGGTAAGTGCTGAAGGAATAATCTTCCTGTTGTTTTTTCCCCCCCTTTACTAATCTCCCCACACCCCAGCCCCAGGAGGTAAGCTTTATGATAATATCACTCTCTAAAGACCTCCATCTCTAATATTGAACTCCTATAGTTCTGTACTATTTAAACATACCAAGTTACCATCTAGAATCAGGGAGTAATGAATTCAACTGTTTTACCTTTGGAAAAGGCAGATACTGTAAATAACTTCAGCTGACAAATAAAAGCTGTATTAACCCTGAGTACCAGAGGGGCAAATCTCATAGTAAGGAGGAACAGGTTGAGACCTCCATACAGTTTCTCTGTTATTTATGAAACATACAGCCTGTGATGTTCAGTAAATTCACTGAACATTTTCACTCTCAAGCACTAGTAGCTACTGCTTTTACATGAAGAATTTAGACTTTAATATAAAAAAACTGACCCCTTAGTTACATTCCACATACAGTTCCCATGTCTCTGGGAGTTTTCCTTGCTTTTGATGGGATTGAAGTAGTTACTGTTGTGTTTATGGTCTGGAAGAAAGGGTGTACCAGTCTTACTGCAGAAATAGCAGTTACTACAGAGATAGCTCATCCCTTCCTATAGAATTGAATTTTCCTAATGCTTTAAAAAGAAACAAATGAAAAAAAAAAAAAACAGAACAACCAACTAGTCATTGACAAACCAAATTTGTTACTCCACATCAAATCTCAAAATATATGATTTTTTGTTGAGTCTGCAGGTACAGTGATGGTTTGGGGGGAGTATCATCCTTTTCTCCTTCCTTTTGCTGAATAATCTGCCCTTAGACCCATTTTAGGGGGTTCTTAAAAAGCAACGAAAGTCTGATTTCTGAAGAAACCCTATTTTTAGAATCACAATTCAAACCATTGAGGAAATACTTCTGACTGTACCAAGAACTATCAGAAGTACTGTTAAACTATCAGACTTGAACAATTGGTACAGGGAGTTATTTTTGTACAGGGAGTTATTGAACCACTTCATTGTAAACAAGAACAGATAAGACTTAAAGCCATTAGTAAGAATTTCATAAGCTGTAAAGAAATTCAGCCCTTTCAAATTAAACAAAAGCAGCTTAGTTAACCCCTCATGGCTATATTATAACTTCATAATTTGATTTAAGTCACCTGTGCACTTCCCCTCCCACCTTCTGAGCCCGAGTCCTCTCTGGCATGTGCGCTGCAGGTTTCTTGCAGGGTGATGTTAAAATGAAGGAAATTTAAACTCAGGAATTGTGTCTTTAGCCCAGGGGTTGGATTAGCAAATGACTTCTCAGTTTGATGTAGGACAGAAAATGTGAATAAACTGAGATTTACAGAGTACTTGCAAAAGTAGTTCAGGAAATAGAATGCTCTTTTCAGCCTTTTTCTGCCAGAGCTGATGTTTGATACCCTGTATTGCTAAATAATTGCTTTTCTCTTATAGAGGAGCACTGAGTGTTTTGGAGATGAACAAGATGAATATGAAAGCCAATGACTCAAGAATACAAATCTTGAAAGAACTGGCTATTGCGGAACTTGACAAACAAGGAAATGTTAAATTGGTTGTGTGAATAAAGGCTTGGGCCATGTTCATTTGACACAGAAGCATCTCAATCATTGCTCCTGGGTTACTAACAAGGAAGTATTGCTGTGGTGTCTCTGTCCTTGTTGCAGATGCCAGAGATGAGGAACTGGGTCATGTCACGCCATGACACTGCTGCTTCCCAGACCCCTTGAGGATGTGTTATCATTCTACTAGGGTATGTTTGCTGCTGCAGCCCTTGGCAGCCTCTGCTGAGAAGCACTGAGCAGCTTCTCAACTCCTGCTGGGAGGACTGCCTTGCAAGGGGCTGAGAACCGCACTCATGATGGTATTGAGGACAGAGTGTTTCAGAGTGTTGGTGAGGATCTCCCTGCTTGCTCTTGTTCAGGTTGACTTTGTTTGGAGGAACAGGGGACAGTAACAATGCTTTAATGCATCTGTCCTACTGGGGACCTAAGAAAGCATTTAGGCAACATTTTCCACCAGCCATTTTCTTAAGCAGAGCTTCGCTGCTGCCTGGCTTTCCAGAGCCAGCTGCACAGCGCCCGTAACCACGATGCCCATCTTGGCCACACCATTGTACAGCTCAGGATGTGCATGGTCTGAACTGCCAGGGGCAAGACCTGGAGTTTGTTGTCTTCTTCCAAAAGCTGTTGGTCTGCAACAGAAGGAAAGAGAGAAGAGCTGGAACCTGCTGATGTGCAGAGACCTGCAGGCATCCCTTCCAGACCATGCCAGCCCCAGCCATCCCTTCCCCTGGCCAGGTGGGACAAACAGATCACCTGGAAGCTGCCGCTCAGGATTACAACAAATGCCCCTGAGATATTCCCTGGAGCAGGACAGGGCACGGCAGCACGCTGCCCAGGCTCTGTCCCCTGCCCCACCAGCCCCAGCACACACAGCACTGCCCCTACTCACCGTCACTGATCTCCTGCAGTGTGTCATTCAGGTACGCTGCAGCCAGCCTTGTGCAGAGAGCTCCGCACGACCTGCTGCTGCCCAGCACACTGCCGGCAGCACGGCCCCGGCGCTGCCGGTTTGGCTGCAGCCCTCTCCACTCAGCAGGGTGACCCCAGGGAAGGACAGGACCTGAGGGGAGGTGGCACTCAGCAAGGTGCCACTGAGCCCCACTGCCAGGGCAGGGGTAGGAGAGGGAGGCACAGAGCCCCTGGCTGCCCAGGACCTGCACAGGGCAGTGGCGGCTCTAGCAGCCACAGGGCTGCTCCTCACTGCAGTGCAGCAGATGGGACTGGGGCCAGGCTGCCAAAAGAGAGATCCCAGGGACTGCAGCTCACTGATTATAAAAAATCCTTATATATGATATAAAAACCTTAGAAAAGATGGAAGTGAGGACAGGCAGCCTGGGAAGAATACAGGGATGTTGCCCAGGAAGCTAGGGACCAGATCAGGAAAGCTAAGGCCCAGTTAGAATTAAATCTGGCAAGGGATGTGAAAGATAACAGGAAAGGCTTCTATAGGTACGTAGCTAACAAAAGACAGACAAAGGACAATGTGGGCCCTCTCCAGAAGCTCTCAGAAGAACTGGCTACACAGGATTTGGAGAAGGCTGAGGTTCTGAATGACTTCTTTGCCTCGGTCTTCCCTGGCAAAGGCTATGACCAAACCACCCACGTCTTGGAAGGCAGATGCAGGGACTGTGAGACTGAAGACCTTGTGCCCACTGTAGGAGAGGATCTGGTTCGAGACCATCTTAAAAATCTGAATGTGCACAAGTCCATGGGTCCTGATGAGATCCACCCGCGGGTCATGAAGGAGCTGGTGAATGAAGTTGCGAAGCCGCTGGCCATCGTATTTGAGAAATCATGGCAGTCAGGAGAAGTTCCCGATGACTGGAAAAAGGGAAATATAACCCCCATTTTCAAGAAGGGGAATTACAGACGAGTCAGTCTCACCTCTGTGCCTGGCAAAATCTTGGAGCAGATTCTCCTGGAAAGCACGCACGTGAAAAACGAGGTGGTTGGTGACAGCCAGCATGACTTCACTATGGGCAAATCCTGCCTGACCAACTTGGTGGCCTTCTAGGATGATCAAGAAAAGGAAGAAGAGCAAAGAAAGAAAAGAAAAGGTAGAGAGAGCAGACTAACAGCTCTTTTAACAGGGAATGTAGGAAAGGGAAGAGAGCGAGCTAGAGGAACAGGAGGGTTTAGAAACTTTGGAACCAAGAACCTAATGCATCCCTAGGGATGGATGTTGCAGGGAAAAGGGACATTGGAAAAATGACTGCCCTAAACTACAGACAAGTCGGCAAGAAGGTGCAAAGATGATGACGCCAGACATCTGAAGAGCCCAGAGGGGAACCCAGCTGAGCCTCTGGTTATAATTAAGCCTGGAGATGATAAGGTTGAAGTTTTAGTAGATACAGGTGCAACATATTCTGTTCTGAACACCTGCAAAGGGAAATCTGGAAATAAAATGGCCGGTACAATTGGAGCGATTGGGAAGCAAGAAAATAGGCCAAGCCTAGACTTGACATTTGGAAATAAGGTACTTGCACACTAATTTTTATATGAGCCAGACTGCAATACCTTTGTTGGGGCGATATTTATTGTCCAAATTAAAGGTGCAAATAGTGTTCGAAAAAGGAGAGATTCTTTTAAAAGTACCAGAATCAAAGGCAGGGGAAATACTGATGAAACAGAAGAAAGTTAAGGAACAGATACCACAGGAAGTAGATCAGGCTGTTATACCAATGGTCAAGTACAGACACACCTGGTCAGCCAAAGACAGCCCAACCTGTGAAAATAGAGTTGAAAGAACAGGGAAAAAACAGGATCAAGTGATATCCAATCAAGCCAGAGGTTAGACCAGGAATCGGGAAATTGACTGGTAAATTCTTAAAGGTTGGGATTCTAGAAGAGTGTGGGTCAGAATATAATACTCTGGTTTTACCAGTAAGGAAACCTTCAGGTAAATATAGATTTATGGGCTATATATCAAATAGTTAGACATACACCCTGTAGCTGCAAATCCATACACGCTTTCCACAGCATCAAGAGAGGACCATCAGTGCTTTACAGTGCTTGATTTAAAGGGTGCTTTCTTTTGTACACTGCAGAGGAGGAAAGCTGAAAACTATTTGCTTTCAAGTGGGAGAATCCGCAAACAGGACGAAACCCACAGTTACCATGGACAGCATTGCCATCAGGGTTCATGAATAGTCCGATCATCTTCGGTAACCAGCTGGCAAAACAGCTGGAACAGTGCAAGCAAAGTGATACAAAACCTAAACTTGGACATCTGCTTCTACAGTACATGGATGGTATCTTGATTGCTGCAGAAGAGGGACCAACGTGTATCAAGGTAACAGTAGACCTTTCAAACTTTCTTGGACTAAATGGCTACAAAGCGTCTAGAAACAAGGCTCAGACAGCAAGCCAAACTGCAATATAGCTGGGCTTTGAGATTTCAAACGGGCAGCGACAACTGGGAACAGACCGTGAAGAGGCGATCTGCAGCATTCCCGAGCCTGGAAATGTCCGTGAATTACAAGCATTTCTGGGAATGGCCGGATGGTGTCGCCTCTGGATAGTGTATTACTGACTGTCTGATAGCAAAGCTGCCCTATGGAGCCCAAAAGGTTTTGTGTGTGGCCCAGAACAGCAGAAAGCATTTCTGTACTTAATAACAGGCTTTAATGACTGCACCAGCACTGGGACGTCCAGATGTAACCAAAGATTTTCAGTTATTGGTTCATGAAAGACAACATCTTGCATCAGTGGTGCTGACTCAGAAAATAGGAAGTTGGAAAAGACCGGTTGGGTAGTTCTCCACACAACGAGGCACTGTGGCACTGTGAGCAGAGGATGGCCTACTTGTCTCCGAGCAGTTGCTGCTACAGTGATGCTAACGCAAGAAGCTCGAAATTAACTTTGGGAATGGCAATAACAGTGTATGTTCCACACGTGGTAATTACTGGTTTAGAACAAAAGGGGGGTCACTGGTTACCCCCTAGCAGCATGATGAAATACCAAGTGATTGTGACAGAACAAGATGATGTCATTTTGAAAACAACTACCTTGAGTAAGCCTGCAGTCTTTTTGAACTCCATGCAGGAAGAAGGACAATTAGAACGTGGCTGTTCGGTGACCCCTGAACATGTCTATTCCAGTCGAGAAGACTTAAAGGATAGACCACCAGATGATTCTGATTGGGAATTATACACGGATGGCAGCAGTTTTGTGGAAGATGGAATTCGATATGCAGGATATGCGGTGCCTACTGAGGATTCTATTACAGAAGCAAATTCTTTACCTTGCACCACTTCAGCTCGAAAGGCAGAACTGATGGCCTTGATTGAGAGCATTAGAACTGAGTGAAGCAAAGAAAGTGGCTATTTGGACTAATTCAAAACATGCGTGGTAGTTGTTCATGGAGCCCTCTGGAAGGTAAGGGGATTCTTGCTCTTCCAGGGAGCAAGTATTAAACACAAACAAGAAGTCTTAAAGTTCCTATGAGCTGTCCAGAGACTGGTTAAGGCGGCGGCACCGTGCGCTGTGAAGCGCATCAGCCAGGAAACCCAAACCAAGGCCCAGGGAACGGCCCGGCAGGCCGAGCAGCTGACCCCGCGCTGAGGCACGCACCGCCCCGCGGCGCGCAGCGGGCACCTCGGAGCAGGGAGGGGAGCAGCGGCGCGGATGTTCCGCTCGGGACCGGTTGGCGCGGGAGGAGCCGCCGCGCTCGCCGCCACCGCGGCCGGGGCGCTTTCCGCGCTGCGTGCGGAGGAGCCCGCGGCCCGGAGCTTGTGGCCGGAGCCTCCATCAGGAGGACCCATTTCATCCAGCGGAGCTTCGCTGCTGCCCGGCTTTCCAGGGGCAGCTGCACAGCGGCCGCTGCCGCCATCCCCGTCTTGGCCGCATGCATAGCGAGGTCAGGATGCGCAGGACGGGCAGGTCCCAGGGGGTCTCTGCCCTGCTCAGACCTTGTCAGGAAAGCACGAGGAGCTGCGAGGCAAGGGAGGAAGGCAGAACCCGCTGCCACTGGTGCCTGGGGAGAGGGGTCAATGCTTCCCACTGCTTTGGTGCGAAGAAAGCTCCACAAGTGC